CTTTCAACTTATGAGCACATCTTATAAAGTAACTTCTTGTTTATGATCTCCTGTACATACATACTTACAACTTATGGTTTTTCTTAGCTTTGCGCATTTATGCATTGCAAGTCTTATGATTGCAGGAATTGTTGGTGGACTCGGTGGTAGAGCTGCGGAAGAAGTCATCTTTGGTGAGCCAGAGGTGACTACTGGTGCAGTTGGTGACTTGCAACAGATCACCGGTTTAGCTAAGCAGGTATCTCTGTCTACTAAGTCTCAGTTTAGCCCAAACTAGTTAATAATGTTGATGCTTCTTATATACAATCTTGCAGATGGTGACAACATTTGGAATGTCTGAGATCGGACCATGGTCGTTGATGGACTCATCAGCTCAAAGCGATGTGATCATGAGGATGATGGCAAGAAACTCAATGTCTGAGAAGCTTGCAAATGACATTGATTCAGCTGTGAAGACCTTATCAGACAGAGCATACGAGATAGCTTTGGGGCACATAAGGAACAACCGTGAAGCCATGGACAAGATTGTTGAAGTACTTTTGGAGAAAGAGACCATGTCAGGCGATGAGTTCCGTGCAATCCTGTCTGAATTTACAGAAATCCCACCTGAAAACCGTGTTGCTTCCTCAACCTCAACACCAGCTTCTGTCTGAGTAAAGAGACGTTGAATATCTCTGTGTATATCTTTGAGATACTTCCTTATACTGTGTAACAAGTAAATCTTAATGTGGCTAGTTTAAGTATATACAAACTCAAGCATTAATGGCTTAGCAAAATCTATGTTTGCAAGTGTATTCAGTAGTTGTCTCAGATACAGAAGCACTGATGCTTAGTCACATACATAAGCTGAAACTGAAAGAGACTTGACACTAAAATTGCTATAGAATCCAGTGATTCAAAGTACTTACAGTTGTGCACACATTAGTTAATTTAATAGGTACAACAATTATGCTCCCAGATTCAAGAATATATACAATGCTTCCCCAAAGGAACAGGAGTCAACTCTAGTTCTAATACCATGATCAATGTCTAAGTTAAAATCTTTAAAAGTTGAGGCCATTGTTCTCTCCCTTCTTCACCCACATCATGGTCCCTGTTTCATGTTTATGGTTTCTGTAATAACCTTGTCCCCTGTTCAATTTTGCAGGTTCCTTGACTTCTCTGTCTCTTCCATCCTCTTCCACTCTCTTCTTGATCCGGAGATGCTGAAACTGAGTCTCAACAGCAATCGAATTACTAGCAGCAGCTTTCTCTATGGTTTGAACAGTTTTATCTCCTGGAGTCTCCTCTTTCACCGGATTAATCTCCTTCGGGATGTATGCCTTGGATCCAGTCTTGAAGACCTCCTTCACAGAACCACCTTGATTCTTCTTTTAGTAGCTACAAGATTCTTTGCTCTACCCACAAGATCCTTCGTTCATGCATCATCGGCTGATTCTGCTCTTATAATATATTTTTTTTATTTAATTAGCTACTAGTATGTATATTAGGTCGAAATAATTTGTTTTTTAATTGTTATAGGTTTTTGGGTGTTCGTGTTAGCATGTCACATGTTAGTACCGTGAAGAGTAGTTTTATCTACTAACTCCACTCAATTGCATCCATCCTTTAACCCATTATTCTAGGTCCTGGACTCTCTTAGACTAGTCATGACACTACTCATAATTAGACTATTCTTACTAGTAAGGTTAACCAGCTAACCTTTCACATTCAACAACGCTTACTAACTCTTCCATTAACTTTAAACACATCACTTAGTTTGTTTAAACAAACTAATACTCTTATTATTCTTGTTGTGTAACTTCTTGTTACACAACCCAACTCACTTTGACTTCTTGTTTTCGTGGCGTTGCTCCTTGTTCCTCCGTTTCTTGCACACCAAGCTTGAGTTTGCGGCCAAGAATTTGTGTAATAACATTCTAGGAGAAGTAGTTAATGTTAGTGAGAGTAACGAGTCAGAGATTGAAGAAGCTGTGAAACGTGGTTATCTAGCGACTGATTCTGACTTTCTCAAGAAGATAGATGTTAAGGGAGGATCTTGCTGCGTCACGGCTCTGATTAAAGACGGGAATCTCGTGGTGTCTAATGCCGGTGATTGTCGTGCTGTTTTGAGCGTTGGAGGATTCGCGGAGGCACTGACTTCTGACCACCGCCCTTCTAGAGAGGATGAACGTAACAGAGTTGAAAGCTTGGTAATAATTCATATCTGATGTTTTTAGATCTTTTTATTTATTGTTGATTTTCAAGAATACGATGAAGCAGTACATTGGTCTTAAATCTTGATTCAGTTTAGGTTTTTTGGCTTTTAGGGTTTTAGCAAATAGTAACCTAAGTAGATCCTCGGGTTATTTCAGTTTCTAATTCGAGTGAACTTATCTTTCTTGCATGGTTCTGAATTTAACAATCTTGCAGGGCGGTTATGTCGATACATTCAACAGTGTTTGTAGAATCCAAGGATCTTTAGCGGTATCTAGAGGAATCGGAGATGCTCATCTCAAACGATGGGTGATATCTGAACCAGAGACAAAGATTTTACGTATCAATCCCCAACACGAGTTCTTGATCTTAGCGTCTGACGGTCTGTGGGAAAAAGTTGGTAACCAGGAGGCAGTAGATATAGCTCGACCGTTCTGCATGGGAACTGATGATCAGAAACAGAAACCATTCTGTCTCACGGGGCTCCTTGGACGATATCAGTGTGATGTTGATTCCGTTATGCCGCTTCCTCTGACCAGTGAAGATATGTCATATTAGTTGTTAGGACACTCTGTGTATATTACCATACTGTACGTGCATGAGTGTTTATAGTTACGTAACACATGATATCTCTAGTGTATCCCCTATATATGTAGCTGATAAATACTTTAGCTATTAGCATAATCTTAATTTTAAGAAATTCCGAACGTTTGAAAGTTTGGTACGGTCTTAAGTACATGTTGCAATGTCACTTTCTTAAGATGTTTTCCAAGTGGATTCTCTTTTACATGTATATCTAGGTTGGAAAATATGGTCCCCGAAATCTCCATACAATATCTTATCTTTTGGACATTTCAAGTAATGCTTTGGCAAAAAATATATAAGGAAATAGCTGCTCTAACACCTAAGAGGATATTGAACAAGTGGTGGACCGTTAATTTACATTTCACGTTTTCGGAAAGTTGAAGATTTGCCAAGGAAACAACAAACTATATAAATTGTTGCGGTGGATTTTTTTTCTTTGGTACGCAAATTCAAAGACTGGAAAGAATATATAATCAATCATATACGATATTTCTCAAATATGTATATAATGGAGTTTCTATTGAAAATTTATCTCAAATAGCCATTTTTAAATGTTCGTAACAGCCATCTCTTCAATTAAAAGTTTAAAATAGCATAATTATCCTTCTCAACCTTCCTATCGAACTTGGTATCTGCGTGATATCTTTGGATAACGTTTTAGAGTAAATTCGTGTGCTTGATGATCCCAACGACAAATAATTAAGTAATTCTTTCACTATAGTCTATGGGTGGAGCCTGATCAACCAATGGTTTCATGCCACAATGGACCACCGTCTTAAAAATCCACTCCCTTTCGGCAACCTCTTCTCCCTTTTGACCATTCCGGATATTAATCCTGATATCCTCTACTTTGCATACCAATCCTGTTACTGTGCACCATGACGAGAATAATTATATTTATATACCTGTTTAATGATTGGCTATATACATGTTTAGATTCATGAATCCTTTGCTAATGATTTATACGTCGGCTACCGTATATTCCATGTCTGATCATGTAAACAGCCATAATAATAGCACGAACCAAAATTGTGAAAAGATATCAAGCGTCCCAAATCTATCGGCACGTTTTAACTGCTCATTTTGATTTGTCTTTCCCACGATTTGTCTGAGTGATTGGATCAACGTGATCATGTCATTTGTGCAATTACTCTACGTATAGAGTTTTAAAATGTTGATGTCAAAACCAAAACGATTGCGTGAAGAGTGCGACAGTAATATATCTTTTGTGGGAGTAAAAAACTCAAGAGACAAAGATCAAACCGCAACTTGATTCTTGGTGGATAAGGACTACAGAGAAATGGCAAGTGCATTGATTCTTACAAATATCCCGATTACTTCTCCAAGTGTCCATAGTGCCATGCAAACTTTCTTCTAATTTTAAAATTATCCTTTCTGTTTTCTTGCTATGTTTTCAAAACAACTAATGAACAATGTAGCATTTTGCATAAAATTAGATTTTATTCTATATATCCTAATCGTAAAATCCAAAATTAACCTGACCATCGAACATCGTAGAATTTTGTGAAAAAAATGTTGTGATAGACCTGAGGGTTTGCGTTGTACATGACATATCCACGTGGGAAATTTTGTAAAAGATGAAACTTTGCAAATGGCAAGGACAATTATTGCCATGTCAGCAATAAAAAAAAAAAAAACAATTTGCAACTTTATTTCACGTTCACATTTTCTATCTCAAAAGTAAAATAAAAAAAAACACATATAAATAGCTTCGTGTTTCGCAAGGACGACATATGAAAGTTGACACACATGGAGAAACAGAACATCATAAACACTTCTTTTTCATCTTCTTGGACCCGTGGTGCGTGCATCGGAAGAGGTTGTTTCGGTACAGTCAGCACGGCGATTAGCAAAACACAAGGTGAAAGTTTCGCAGTGAAGTCCGTGGATCACGCCACGTGTCTTCCCATTCAATCAGAGTCCCTAGAGAACGAAATCTCTGTTCTCCGTTCGCTCACGCCACATCTTTACATAGTGCAATTCCTTGGCGACGGAACCTCGAAAGAAGGAACGACGTCGTTTCGGAATCTCCACTTAGAGTATCTCCCCGAAGGTGACGTGTCTAAAAACGCTCCCGGAGGAATCGACGAGACTCTTCTAAGGCGTTACACGGCGTGTCTCGTCTCCGCTCTCCGCCACGTCCACTCGCGAGGATACGTTCACTGCGACGTCAAGGCGAGGAACGTTCTCATCATCAGCCGGAGCTCCGGAGTCAAGCTAGCGGATTTTGGATCGGCGATTAAATTTAGCAAACAAACGGCTACGGCTCAGATTACGCCACGTGGAAGTCCGCTTTGGATGGCTCCGGAGGTGATCAGAGGAGAGTACCAAGGGCCGGAGAGCGACGTGTGGTCTTTTGACTGCACGGTCATAGAGATGCTCACTGGTAAACCGGCTTGGGAAGATCTCGGGGTTGACTCGTTGAGTCGAATCGGTTTCTCAGACGAGTTACCGGTTGTCCCAGTGATGAAGCTGTCGGAAACAGGACGGGACTTCTTAGACAAGTGTCTGAAGAGAGACATGAAGCAGAGATGGAGTTGCGATCAGCTTTTGCAGCATCCGTTTCTGTCTGAGTCTCAGTCTATTGACTCGTGTCGCACTGAGTCATCTCCGCGTTATGTACTTGACTGGGTTAACTCGGACGAAGAAGAAGAGGAGGAAGTAGAGAGAAGCGAGTGGAGATTAAACTTCAAATTTGCGGCGATGGCAAGGATCTGTAAATTGGCAACGACCCAAGGGGTAAATTGGGAAATAGATGGTTGGGTGGATGTTAGAAGTAGCAACCCTTCTGAAGAGGAAGAGGCAACGACAGTATACTCGGACTACAACACTTCATTGAATCCGTACGGTGACGTGGCTGATGAGTCGGCGAGGATTGACGGTTCCGTGTATCCGAATAGACCGCCGGGAAACCGGGATTCGGCGGCGGAGGTGCCTTATGAAGTAGTGATGATTTTATTTTTATTAATGGTTTATTCTAGAATTACATGTGTATCCACCGAAGCTACTCTCATTACTTCTTGTTGTTATCAATTTCATAACAAGGATATGTTGTCTTTTAATGCAAGCCTCAGTTTTTTTGTTTGTTTGTTAGTTTGCACATGTGATTCGATCGGATCCGACGAAACTATCATTTACTTGGTGAGATGAAAGTGAGACCAGACGAAACTATGGCTACTACACTCTACTTGAGACCAGGTGTTGTGCATTCTGCTTCAAATATTGTCATATTTGTTTGCTTAACTTATAAATTATGGGAGGGAAACCTAACCGATATGATTGAGCTACGAAAAAGTTTTGAATGTAAAAAACATTGTGAGATTTGTTGTGGGTTCGTAAGCAGTTGGAGGACACTCTCAGGGGGGGGGGAGATACGTTTTGTGCTTTAGAAGCCTAGAAGGGGAGATACGTTGATTCACCGTTCATGTTAGGATTCTAAGAGCAACTCCAATGGTGTGTTACCCACCATTGGAGTCCTTAATACTAAAATATTAATTTTTTTTTTTAATAGTTAAGGATTTTTATTATAAATGGGTGTACAATGGTGTTATTCTTATGGAGTTCTTAGAATTTTTTTTCTTTCTTGAATTGAATCTTAGAAATCAACATCTCTCTATATATATGTATCACCATCACCATCTTCACCGATGTAGCACCATCAATGGTATTAAGCTAAGATTAAAAGTGACACCTAACCCACCTAGCAACATCAAGAAATGTAGTAAAGGCGCTTCAGGTGCCGTGATACGAGTTATCACAGAAAGGCAGCTGGCAACAAGAAGCTTGACATCCTTGTCTTGATGCTTGAGAATTTCAGGTTTAATAGCTGCATTCAGAAAAGGCTGGATAGACTTCACTACTGCTGCTGGCGGAGACTGCTCTAATTCAGAAAGACGAACAACAGCTTCCTGTAAGTAGAAACACACCAAGTTAAAGACACTGGTTTTGGTGCTTAAGTTCACTTGGTTTTGGTGCAGGAGGACGATCTGAACTTGGAGAATGAAGCTATTGTAATCATTTTAGGGCCTACTCTTTTGACTTATGTATGTGTTAACACTAGACTTCCTATACATTATGATATAACTTACTTCTATCTCTCTTGTATGCAGTTTGCCTAACCTTGACTAAACTGAACTTATCTCTCTGATTCTTCCTGCAGTTCAGTCGCAGTGGCCTCACTGTAATATCCTTTAAGCTACTTGGACTCAACCATTACCACAGAGAAGCAAATGCATTGAGTAAAATCATTTACAACAAATGGATTATTCAACCATAACACTAAAACTGAATCAAGTTACCTAGAGATTTCACACATTTTTATACATATGCCACGAACATATTGTCCCATTGTGCTACATCTTCAATATTCATGCCACTAGTATATGGTCTAGTACAAAGATTGAAAAGAACTAGAGATATAGACAGAGAGGTTAGCTTACCTGCTCCTCCATTACGTTTCCAGTCTTCGTCATGCTTATGGAGCTGTGAGGCGGAGGAGGAGAGACTTACCTGAAAAAAGCAGACGAACCTGTGCGTTGAGCTCCTCAAGAACAGCTCCTGGGACAGGGTACCTGAAACCTAATCTTAATGATATCAAGGGGAGATTTCCGATTCAAGCGGCGATGACATCAAGATACAAAATCAAAAACATACATATATGCTACCCATGTCTATTTAAAATCAAAAACAACATTCAATAACTGACTGAATACTCTTTTAGCATCTGATTTGGCTTTAACAATCGAATACTCTTTTAGAGCTACAGAATTCCTCAGCTTCGCTTCATCCCCTTGTATAAGCTTCGACCATCCTTCATCAAAAACAATTAATCTCAGCTTCACACATCATGAAACAACCCAAAAATATATAAAAACAATTAACCAAAAACCTTGGAGCAAGAGATCGTTCATAGAAGGTAGAATTGGGAAATAACCTCCAATAAAGCTCAAAACTTTGGAGACATAAAAAAAAAAAAAAATACAGCAAAGCTTGAAGACACCAAAGCCAGAAATCGAAAAGTATCTATCTAAGCAGAAATGCAAATTGAATCCATACATCAAAAACAAAGTTCAAAGCTTTGGTAACTTGAGAGAGAGATAGATAGTGATGGGCAGAAGCAGAGAATGGAGGACGAGTAGGGTATGCCACGTTGATAAGGACTTGATCCTTAAATTGCTTAGCTAAGGATTAATCCTTACCCTCTGCCCTTTTTTTAATATTTTTTTCACCCAATTTATCTAGGTAATAACGCTAAGGATTGAGGAGAACTCAGCGTTGTAGATGCTCTTAAGGTCGATATATCAAAAAAATGGAAACTAACTATATATCTTATATATTAAAACAGAAGTCATGACTTGATTTCATGTGTGATTTTTTTAAAAATGGACTATTACTAGAAAGTTATGTTACATTAACTCTCTAATAATCTTATCATTATTATAGCTTATAATACGCTTAACAATTTGGTTTTGGTAAACTACCCCACGCCTTCCAACTTAGTCACACAAAATATGTCAATATATATAAGTTTAGGAATCTTCTATTATTTATAAGTAAATATGTTAATAATAGTTAAATGCATCCACAATATATTAACAAAAATCACATATTAGTAATATGGAATATTTATATACCTTAACAAAATTTACACGCTATATATATTAGATAAATTTATTTCAATGTAAATTTTTAAAATTATATTGTTTTAAATTTTTTTTTTAAAATTCATTTTTAATAAAATTATTTATAATATTAATTTATGAAGCTATAAGTTTAGTTTTTAGCAAAAATTTCTTCGAAGTTTATATAATCTTTGCAAATTAAAATACACTAATATTTAATCAAGCTCTATTTATATTACTTTATCTAAAAATGAAATACTAATCTAACAAACAATAAAATATAGAAGAAGAAACAAATACATGTTTTAAAAACATGTATAATATAGAAAATTTAAAACAATCTATTTTATTAAAACACTCATTATATCATATTATTATGTTTGAAAAAAATTTACTATACATATCGTAAATATGTGATTACTATAATATATACCAATTTACAAGTGAAAACAAATTGTTTATATAACTAATTATAAACGAAAACAAACACCCGCGCGGTTGCGCGGATCAAAATCTAGTATTATATTAAAAGAGAAGTCATGACTTCTCCTTCATGTGTGATCTTTTATAAAATGGACTATGTACTAGAGTTGGTCACATTATATATTTAATCATTAATAACATTTATTAGATTCACTAATAACATTTATTGGGCTTACTATAAATTTTTATTGGGCTAATAAAAATTACATGATCCATTGAATTTATAGATAGTAGAATAAAATACATATTTAAATTAAACTTATACTCCCTCCATTTCATTTTAATTGTCATTCTACGTTTTTGCACACAGATTAGAGAAACATTTAATTTTACATATTTTCGAGAAAAACACAATTACCTATACATCTAACCAATTTTCAACCAATAGAAAAATAGAATATCATATAAAACTAATAAGTTTTGTCTCGAAACTCTAAAACGACACTTATTTTGAAACGAAATTTTTCCTCCAGTATGACAATTTATTCGAAACGGAGGGAGTATAATTTAATATTGTAATAGTATAAGTTAATTAGTTATATATTTTCGATGTTAACTTTAAAAATTATATAGTTTATTTTTAAAAATGACAAAAATATCATTGTCTAAAAATACTTAATCTATACTATATAATAATTAATCATTATTTTCGATATACACACCTTATATAATATATCATTTTCGATATACATACCTTATATAATATATATTAATTTAGAAGTAAAAACAAAATGTATATATAAAAATAAATGAAAACAAATAACCGCGCAGTTGCGCGGGTAGAGATCTAGTATACACTTAAATGGTAACCATACCATTGCCACCAATACAGTTACTGGAGGAATATACTACAAGTATCTCACGTACGTTTTCAAAATGTCATATATTTGTATCGATATAACCCTAAACTGTTTTTAACAAATAAAATTTGACTCAGTGGTCAAATTAAATCTAAAGAAAATATTCAAAAGTTTACATAAATTTTCTAGTGTTAAGGTGGTTCTTGCCAGCACTAAGCAAGAACACAATGCAAATATTTTTTTTCTTTTTGAAAACATGTTAATTGTTCTGAAAAAGTATTGATCGATAATAACTCAATGGAACAAATCATAGTATTCAGATTAATACAAGACAAATCCCAAATATTAATAACATAGAATCACCAACACACATTACTTGAATGTTTAAACCATGCAATCTTTACTCAAATAAAGGAAAGTTTAGATTTGTTCAAATGACTCAATAACTAGATTGAACCAAATTCAGTCAAATGTATTCAATATTAAGCTTTTTTTTTACCTTTTGGAAGTTTCTTCAATTTTTTGCCACTGCAATATCTATTGCCAACTTTTTGTTTGATGGAAGCGAAGACGTCTCGATCGTCAAACTTTCCATCATCTTCCCTAGTATCACAAAACTTGCAGCTAAAGCAAATTGATCCTCATCCAAACCATTGAAGTTATGCATAGACATTTTTCACACATAAGTCAGCACTGAGGAAGCTATATCCCCACTTCTTTTGTATTCTGCCAATTGGATATTCACCTTCTTCCTTATAAGTATCATTATGCTACATATACAAGAACACACACACGTATAAATATGTATCTGGTTTTAAAAGAAAAATGATTAAAGAGAGAAAACTGATCAAATTTAGTTAATTAGAATTGATGCATAAAATGAATGTATACCTTGAAGAAAATCTAGAGTTTTTGCAAGTCTCTAGCCCATGCATCTAAAACTTCCTTTAGCATGCAAACCTCTTTTGGATTCATCATATCCACATTCACCGCCAAAGTTGCAAACTCAATGTTTTCGTAATTTTCAATGTTACTCACGAATTCATGTCCAATGTTTTCATTCCCCTTCAGTTCAAACTAGCAAATTAACCGTGTTAAACAATATTCTAATTAAACCACCATTTATTATATATGTGCAAATGCAATTTTGCATGTGCTTGTACCTGAGTGTCGCATGAGATATTGTAGACGATGTGAGACACACTTTGGTCTACATCTCCCCATCTTTGACTGAACTGGAGTAATCTTGGGGTGTCAAGAACGAATTTAGTCCCCCTCGCAAGTTCAAAATTGTGAATAGAGAATATGTCCAGAAGAGCTGCGGACACTTCAATGTTATCAATTTCGGTGAAGGACAGATGCACAATCTTTAAGTTGTTGTTATGAATCTTTAAACAACCACGTCGGCTGTACCAGTAGACTTCTAGTACCAGCATCTTGAGGGAGGGGCACGATGCAATGACTGTGTTGAGCACATCAAGTTTAACTTTAATTTGGTAAAGTTTAAGAATTCTGAGATTCTTGCAATTGTTAAAGGCATGTGCAAAGTCAAATATGAATCGAGACACGAGTAGTGAGGTGAGTGTTGGATGTGAAAATATGTTTGGGGGTAAGAGGAACACCAGACCCTTCAGAGAAAGAATATTATCATGAACTCTCTCAATTGCGAGACATTTAGTGTGTTTCACGTAGATCAATGATCGGATCCAAGTTTCGAGTGTACCATCTAGACTTTGGTTTGAAAAATGCTGGATTTTGCAGTGCTCCAAATTGCCATTGTGATTGTTTATAACCTTGAGAAAAAAAATTAAAGAACAGTAATGGTTAAAAAAATAGCTATACACATAGACAACATAATTTTTAAATAAAGCCAATTTTTGTCGTATTAGATATCTTAGAACTTTAAAGAAAAATAATTGAAACACTTTATAGAGATTTTTATGCTTGATTAGTCTGTTTGATATTTTTTTTTTGTATATCTATAGTTGATCAATTGTTAATCCAATGGATTGAAAGGACAACATATCATATATATATATATATATATATAATCCAATGGATTATCAATGTATGTTGAAATATTTCATCGTGACTCATCATTACATTTTCCAACTTATACTCAAAACTCAAAATATATTGGTAATTCCTTTTCAAAATATCAAAATTTTGCAATGTAAATTATCATTATGTATTATTTTCCATGAAATATAGTTATATTTGTTATTGTGCAAATTAATGAGTAGAAATGTAAAAAAAAAAAAAATGAAAGACCTTGGTTATCAATGGGGCAATGAAATTGGAATGTTCGGCTTGAGACACCTCCACCTTGAGAGCCTTTCTCGTATCGAAGAAGAGATAAGGCATTTTCTTCCAAACACCTTCCCAACGTTTAGACAACAAACTTGTCTGAACTGCTTTTTCTGTGGACATGCTCTTTAGTATTATGAGCAACACCTCGTCCGGAAGGTTGCTGATCCGATCGACGTTTTTGATCTGCATCCGGTTGCTGTCTTTTTTCTCTAACGATGATGATGAGTGTAATTTCTTCATGGATGGTGTTGTTGATGAAGTGAAGGGGTTTAGCGGGAGAGACATGAAGAGAAGATATGTTTTGAACGAGAGGAAAAGATGTGAGATTCTCAACAGATGAGAGAAAGACTATGCAAATGAAGAGATGTGAAAGAGATATATATATATATATATATATATATATATATATTTATATATTAGGTTCTAAGGAACATTTCGACGCGCTATAACTCATTAACTCCCTTATTATGAGTGTCATGAGGTTCTAAGGAACATTTATTCTCTGACAAATAACTGTATGTTTCTGGAACATGTAACACGGCTGCTTCTGCAATTGCTGAGAGTGTTATATAAGTGGTCAGCGTATTCAATCTCATGTAGCTTCTGGTGGTCCTCGATTGTTGGCGACGGCGCTCTCCAAAGAAGTGGCTTCCTCTTGATTTCTTGCAAAGATGTAGCAGGTGAAAAGATCCCTCTTGAGTTTGAAGGCTTGATTGTTTCTCATTTCCTCAACTGTTTGGGGTTCTCTATAGGGCCTACTGGTTTCCAATTTATTTTTTCTTCTACGTTGGTGTTTTGATACATACACTCTCTCGGGTGAAACCAGGGCCGGCGCTGGGCAAAGCCGGATGAAACATTGGCCTTGGCCCCCAAATTTTTATGAAAAATTTATATGTATACCGGCCCCAAAATAAAAAAAATTTTACGCCCCCAATTCATTAGAAATTAAAATTATGTAATATACTTTTAAAAATATCCCAAAATTTTGCTTATGTATTATGTAGGTCCAATTTAATTTAATTTTATATATATTTAAAATTTAGAAAAAAAATTAATAAATTAGTAATGTTACATAATAATGTTTTTATAAATTGTTACAGAAAATACAATTTATAAATTTTAAATTAATAATATTATAAGCCATATAAATATTATTATAAAATTGGATAGTATTTACAATCAAATTATATTTATTTATTGATAAATTTTACTGCATCCGTTTTTAATATATGATGTTTTAGATCATTGCACAAAGATTAAAAAATTTACATTTTTTACAAAATTATTTTTAAAGATATAATTTTATAATTATTCAACCAATTATTAAAAAAAAAAATTTATCGGTTGAACAATTTCCAATAAAGTTAAAGATAACTTTAAAACCTCAAAATATACCTTAAAATCTCAAAACATCTTCTATTTTGAAATATAATAAATCTTTTAAAACATCATCTATCTAAAACAGAGTGAGTATTATATAATTTCAAATATTTTCGTATGTAAATTACCCGCACAACCTAGTATCAATTAAATAACATGTATCTAAAACAGAGTGAGTATTATATAATTTCAAATATTTTCGTATGTAAATTACCCGCACAACCTAGTATCAATTAAATAACCAAGTCACGTCCGATGTGTATCGTTGCAAATTCTGGAACGTGAAAGTATGCAAGTCTCTTTAAATTATTATTGAAAACTTTAGAAAAATAACATAGTTTTGTACAACTCAAATTTTCTCAACGACAACATCTAACACAAAGCTTGGAAAAAAAATATGATCTAAATGACATTAAAGAAACCCTGACAATAATTTTACAAAGAAAAACAAACAAAGGTGTCAGTCTCTGCTTTCAGACAGTGTTTGGATCACCATTAAAGTCTTGAAAGAAAGACTTGACCCCTTCATAAGTAGACCAACAGATTGCTGCTGCAGGAGCATGAAATAGCATCCTCGGAAGCCATCCCCTTAGTAGTCCTCTGTATCCATCTTTCTTCACTATCGTTTTAAGTACATCGCTGATCGAGCCGCTAGTGAAACGGTCGCATCCACACACACCCTGCACATTATTACCACACATGATTGAGATTATTTCATACATTTTTTTATCTTAGAGCAAAGAATCGTGGACACTATAGCTGATCGTGATGTTGCTGTTTTCAACTCTGTGCTAAGTCAAATAGAAGTTAGAGACACCTAAGCTGGTACCACTACTGTTTCATTAACGAAAACACAGAGGATCAAAATATATATATGCAAAGATTATGAACCTTACGCTTCAACTAGAAAACATAACCATCTCTCGAGATTCTACACTTTGATTCGACTCGTTCTGGTCTGGATCTTACCCATAAGATCACATAAAACGAAAAAAACATATATTCTCCATTCCATAAATGCTATGCTAAGCTTGACTAGTAAGACCTGAGCTAATGATGACTCAATTGGGAAATGTCATTGCCTGAAACTATAAAACACACTCTACTTTATGATATATCACATACACGAACCAGAAACGTACACATCTAACCATTGAAATCAAAGAACTGCCTCTTAAGAACGCCAAGTGTTCTATGTGATTGTCAAAACTAGAGAAGCTTAAACTGTAACAACAAAATTATGGTGCAGCTCAAACTATAATCACCATCTGCCAGTTATTTTGAAAGTATGATCTAAAGAGGATTTTCCATCAACTCACGCATTGATAACATCACAATCTAAAGAGGTCCTAAAACATGATTACTATGTACTAGTCTGATACTTATTTAAATCTCTAAAAAGAGTATTATTATCCAGCAACTTACACATAGTTATAACCAAATCACTAAACATCTAATCACATTACCTTTCTATCCAAAGTCTTAGCCTTTCAACGATTAGAGAACAAAGAACGAATCATTCTACCTGACATTGCAACTGCGTCTTAACAACATCCAACGGCGTCGTCACAGCCGCCGCCAATCCACCAGCAGCTGCTCCAGCAGTAGCATGAACCAACCAACCTTCCTCATCACCAACAACCCTCTCCGGCGAAACCTCCACCAACGCCTTCTTAGCCGCCTCATACGTCGCGAAATGAACAGCAGTAAAAGGCGCATTCATCAAAACCGTCGTCCTATAAGAAGCATAAAACGCACCAAACCCTTCCTCACGCATAACCCTCTTCACACAATCCCACACCCCTTTATAAGTCCCTTCACCCATCTGCAACCTCTGCTTCACCATATCCATCGGAGTAAACACCGCATCGCTCGAAACCGTCGCGAACACACCGGACACAGCATGCGCCACGGAGTTGCTGGAATCTGAACCGGAAGATAGGAACTTCTTGGAGACTTCGTAGAAGGAGAAGTAAACGGCGTGGGCCGGGCCGGCGCCGAGGCCCATGGCCCAGATCCCGCGGTAGAGCGCGGAAGGTCCTTCCTTCTGGATGATGGAGCGGAAGGCTTGGCGGATTCCGACGGGCTTCAAGGGGCAGGGACGGAGGGCTTGCATGTGGGTTTTGATTGTGTCGACGGGGAACATCGCCATGTGTTCGACGGAGCCGGCGATTGAACCGGCGATCATGAATTGCCAGAACCGGAGACCGTCGTGTGCGGTTTCGGGTTTGAGTTCGGGTGTTTGGGAGATTGGTCGGAGGTCTGGTTCTTGGAATTTGGATGCGGTTGTTGCCTCCGTGGCCATTTTGGGGTTTTTGGATTGGGAATTGGGGATTTTGGCGGCTGGGAGATGGAAGTTAGGGTTTCCGAAAATGGTGGAGGGATGTGAATAACGGACAAAGAGAGACGGTTACACGGGTGTAATGAGGAATTGATGGTCGTTGACCACTACATCATCATCGTCATCTCTGACTTTTCCTTTTTGTCCAAATCATTCATGACGAAAGGTTTGAACTTTGAATGTTCAGGTGGAGAATTCTAACCTGAATTGAATTCTATTGTGACGTTGTTGGTTTTTCTAGCGGTTTATTCAGACCAAATGGTTTTGTTTGTGGTTAACTAGTACAAAAATCTGGTATTGTTGGGCTTTTATATGTAGACAATATGGATCTCAAGAACTGACGTGGAAGAACGAGACTATATATATATATAATCCATAGAGATTAGCTTATTACACGACGTGTGAAATGATGGCAAGAAACTTACAAATATTTTACTTGAGAGGTTTTGGATTAGTTATTGTTTTACTGATTAACAATATTACAAACAGTTTCAGCTCTTATTCTTTACATGTTTATGTACAAGGCAATGAGGCATGATTTAACATATATGGCTGAAGCCGTGGATGTTTGCTATCAGCCGGTTCTTCGGGAAAGCTGCTCCTGATTTGTGCTCTCGAAGATCTTGTCTGCATTTCCAACCTCAAATCCATCTCTTCGATGACACTCTTTTATCTGTGTGTTTGTAGTGGTTTAACAAGTGTTAGTTCACAATATTTTATACAAAAATATAGTAATAAGGAGCAAGGAGTTCTCTAGGCAATGGGATTCAAAAGAGCACAACGAATTTTTCACAGTAACCAAAGTGAGTTGAGATTCAAACCAGAATCGTCACTTACTTCGCTTTCGGGTACATTCTGAAACTGAGGGAGCACAAGGCGTTCAGCAAACTCAATGTAAGAACAAGGGATAGATTTGGTGACTCCATCAGAGAACTTGAAAGAAATTGAATCTGCTACAGTTGAGCTTTGCAGCAAACCACCATCAGGGCTAACTGCAAATATAGAAAGATACAGTATGTGTCAGACAGTTGTTTGTTAACCCAATCTTCTCTAATTTCATTTAATTAAGGAATTAAGATTAGCTCATGAGTTTGATGATACTAAACCTTTAAGGACTCCTCCTTCTGAGTTCAATTTGAAACCTTTTTCTTCAAGGAACTGATTAAGCTTTTTAATTTTGTTTAGATGAGATTTAAGCCGATGGACAGAGATAGTCACGTGGTTAAGTGCATAGCCATTAGCAAGTGTCCATGCTGCATATTCACTTTCCCTGTAGATATAATTTAAACCCAACACACCATCATTCATGACTCAATACTCTGCTTTATCTAGAAAATCAAATAGCAAATAGAACATGTACTTAGCCAATTGCTCAAACTCAGAAGATAGAGGCTTCTCCCAAGGCAAACTACCCAAAGCACTAGAGAGAGCAGCATACTTTCTCCCATTAGGTGATGTTTCAGTGTATTTTCTAATCACATCCTGGAAAACAATAGACACTTTACTCCAAAAAAACTCATACACAAACAATCAACCATCGAGGAGGGTCAAACCCGTTACCTGAGTCTCTGTACTCATCTGTTCAACAAGGAGCTCTGAGATAAAAACTCGTGGTAAAGGACCATTTACACCACTTCCACCAGGAACAGCAGAAGAAGCATGAGGAGGTGCAAACCACAAAGCTCTAAGCTTCTTGGCAGGAAACCTCAGCTCGTCCATTTGAGTATATCCATAGTCAAGGAAAAAACTTGCAAGCGACTCAATCCCATAACCACCAATCTAACCATATTCCAACAAACAAAGACAGCAGATACTTTAACTTTTGTTCAAATGTTTTAAAACTGTACTTAGAGAACTTTATATACCCCAAAGGTCCTGAAAGCGAGATGATCATAACAAAGCTGCTCATCATCATCAACGGACCGAACAAGTTCCAAGACGGATTTAGGAGTCGGGTTCCGGTTTAGGTAAACCGTTTCCATCTGTCCTAAAACGCTTCTGAAGAATGGTTCAGCAACCTGATCACGAGTCAAAACAACAAACGTAAACAATCAGGTTATTACCTACATGGAAAACTAAGAAAGAACTAAATTAGAACGGACCTGCGAAGACGATCCGTGAGAATCTCTGTTTGTTGACATCGAGACACCTCTAGAAGCAGCAGAGATTGGTGGTGGTGATCGAAGAGGAAGAAACGAAGAAAGAAGAGAAGTTTTGATGGTGGAAGAGGAGTATAGAGAAACCATAGTGGAGATTCCTTGTTTTTTCCGACGGAAAGCGTTTAAAACTATGAAAGAAGCCATCTTTTTATGGATTGGACAGAGACAGACAAAGAGGTTCCGTGTGATTCGTCTTCTTCTTTTCTCACAGAGGAAAGTCGTGTCGTGTCGAATGTGTATACTAATACAACTGTGTGTATAGTCTATCACATCTGATGTGTCGAGATCATCATCTTCGCATTTATATAATTTTCATCTGATGTGGCGACATCATCTCTTACATTCGATTGATAAGTTATGTTTTTGGAAGGAAGAGTACATACGATACGAGGTTTCTGGTTAGACCCACCACAGGTCCACAGGTGTGAATGATTATAAATTACAATAAATGGGCTCATGGATCGGCCCATAATTTGTCACCGTATCAAATACATTTCATAATAGTGCGTCTGCTTTGACCAAAAAAAAAAAAAAAAAAAAAAAAAAAAG